CTGTACCATTTTTTTTTTCTCTCTTCAAACACCTCCAGCTCCCTCTCCCTGTATCCTTATTCTCAGCTGATGACCTTGCCTCCTACTTCCCTGAGAAATAAAAGTAGTAAACAACCTACTTGCTTTTGGACTATATATTCTATCTTCTCTCCTGTTATTATAGATAAACTGTGTGTGCTCCTATCCAAGGCCAACCTTTTCACTTGTGCCCTGAACTCCACCCCTTTATGTCTGTTCAAGAACATGGCTTTCTCTGTCTCCTACATCATTGACTCATCTCTATTTCTCTCACTTTTCCCATCCTCAAACAAATACGCCGATATTTCTACCATTTTATAATATCCCCTCTTTTTTTTTTTAATTTATTGATTTTAGAGAGAGAGAAAGGAAGAGGGAGAGAGGGAGAGAAACATCAATTTGTTGTTCCACTTATTTATGCATTCATTGGTTGCTTCTTGTATGTGCCTTGATGGAGGATCAAACCTGCAACCTTGGTGTATCAGGACAATGCTCTAACCAACTGAGCTACTCGGCCAGGGCCTAAAATCCTCTTGACCCCACTTCTTCCTCCAGCCACTACCCTATTTCCCTCCTTCCTTTTTCAGCACAACTCCTTGAAAAAGATATCTCCAATGTTCTCTTCCCATTTTCTCTTTTTACATTTAATATCTTCCCTCCCTCCCTCCCTCCCTCCCTCCCTGCCTGCCTCACCCAAGGATATTTTTCTACTTATCTTCAGATGGAGTGGGAGATAGGGAGAGAGAGAAAGAGAAACATAGACACGAGAGGGACACATCAACTGGTTGCCTCCCACATGACCCTGACCAGGGCAGGGAACCAAAACGCAACCGAGGTACATACTTTGACTGGAATCAAACCCGCGACTCTGGTCCGGGGGCCGACACTCTAACTGCTGAGCAAACTGGCAGGGCAGTACCTTATTTATTTATTTATTTATTTATTTATTTATTTATTTATTTATTTATTATTATTTTTTTATCCTCACCCGAGGACATTTTTCCATTTTTTCATTTTTTGCACAGATAGAGTAGGAGGGAGAGCGAGGAAGAGAGAGAGAGAGCGAAACATCGATGTGAAAGGGACACATTGAGTGGCTGCCATCCGCACGATCAACCAGGGCCAGGGACAAACTGCAACCAAGGTACATGCCCTTAGCGGGAACCGAACCCGGGTCTCTCCAGACCTCAGGCCAATGCTCTAACCGCTGAGCCAAACCGGCCAGGGCATATTTAATATAAAATATATGTTAAAGACACTCTGTCCTGCCCTGGCCGGTTTGGCTCAGCGGTGAGAGCATCAGCCCGTGGACCAGAGAGTCCCAGGTTCGGTTCCCGCTAAGGGCATGTACCTCGGTTGCAGTTTGTCCCTGACCCTGGTTGGGGTTGTGTGGGTGGCGACCAGTCGATGTGCCTCTCTCACATCGATGTTTCTCTCTCTCTCTCTCTCTCTTTCTCCCTCTCTCCCTTCCATTCTATCTAAAGATAAATGCAAAAAAAAAAAAAAAAAAAAAAAAGTCCTTCGGCGAGGATAAAAAAAAAAATTAAAGACATTCTGTCCTATTCTTTTTGAACCCACTCTGATCATGCTTTTGCCCCCCTCCCACTGCACTGAAACTGCTCTTCAGGGTCACTAATAACTCCATGTTGCTAATGCCAGTAGTCATTTCCCAAACCTTATCTTATTGGACCTATCAGCAGCATTGGCACAGTTGATCACTTGCTCCTCCTTGAATTCCAGGACACCCACAATGCTATTAAAATTCAGATCCCCAGACCCCACCCCAAACACTTTGAATCATGCTTTATGGAGATGTGGCTTAGGACTGCATTTTATTCAAACAGTATAGGTGATTCCTATTCTCACAAAGAAAATTCTTTTTCTTTTGTTATCCTCACCTGAGGATATTTTGCCATTGATTTTTAGATAGAGTGGAAGAGAGGGAGAGGGGTGGGGGACATCAGTGTAAGAGAGACACATCAGTTGGTTGTTTCCCACAGGATCCTGACCAGGGCCAGAAACTGCAACCCAGGTATGTGCCCTTGATCGGGAATTGTCCCTGAGACCCTTTCGTCTGCAAATCCATGCTCTAACCGCTGAGCCAAACCGGCAAGGGCAGGAAAGTATTTCATTAATCCCTGCCTTTTCCATAGGCTGAGCATATTTATCCACAAATGTTGAGCACCTGCTGGATGTCAAGCACTATAACTAACCAGACACTGTCCCTGACCTCAAGAGCTTACAGCTCAGAAGACATTTTCCAGGGAAATTTACAAGATAATTTTAGATGGTACCATTTTTCACGATAAAAACCATTTCGATTTATATAGGTGCTTAAGCATAGACGTTGGGTTAGTAATAAAATATGAATTTTATATTAAAAATAATTTTGGTGAAAAAATAATGCTTTTTAAAAAACTAAAAGCTATGTAGGTTTTAAAAATTACCTTCTGTTTATGGCAAGAGATACTAGTTTTCCATTTAGAATACTGATATGATTTCCTTTTTTACAATAAATATATGTAAAAAGTTAAGTCAACTTAAAGAAAATGACAGTATAGTGCGGCCGCAAAAGGTCACCTGTTCAATTCCCCGTCAGGACACATGCCCAGGTTGTGGGCCCGATACCAGTGGGGAATATGCAGGAGGTGGCCAATTGATGCTCTCTCTCTCTCCCTCTCCCTTCGTCTCTCTCTCAAAATCAATAAAGGAAAAAAAAAAAAAAAAAAGAAAGAAAATGACAGTATAGATATGGTAGAAATACCAAAAGAGGTACATAAATACCTGGAGTTTGGGAAATACTCATCTAGCATTTCAGAATAGCTGTGATATAAGAAAAAGAATAGCCCTGACCAGTTTGGCTCAGTGGTTGGAGCGTCAGCCTGTGGACCAGAGAGTTTCCAGGTTCGTTTCCCGTTAGGGGCACGTACCAAAAAAAAAAAAAAAAAGAATAGCTAATATTTATCATGAACTGACTAGATCTAAGTCAGAACATGTCACTGCTCTGCTCAAAACTCTCCAATAAATTACTATCCATTTTATCTTATTTTTGTTAACACCTGTATTGAGCTATAATTTACATACAATTTACCCACTAGAAATGTACAAGTCAATGTTTTTTAATTTTATTATTTTTCTAAATCTTCATCCAAAGATAGTTTTCCATTGATTTTTATTTATTTATTTATTTTATTTTCCATTGATTTTTAGATAGAGTGAAAGGGAGGGAGGGAGGGAAGAAGAGAGACAGAGAGAAACATCGATGAGCGAAACATTGATGTGAGAGAGACACATCGATTGGTTGCCTCCTGCATGACCCCAACCAGGGCTGGGGATCAAACCTGCAATCCAGACACATGCCCTAGACCAAAATCGAACCCGCAACCCTTCGATCTGTAGGTCGATGCTCTGACCACTGAGACAAACAAGCCAGGGCTCAATGGTTTTTTCAGTATGTTCACAGAGCCGTGCAACTATGACTACAATCAATTTTAGAACATTAAAAAAATTTTTTTTCCTTTATTGATTTGAGAGAGAAAGTGAGAGGAAAGTGATGAAAGAGAACATTGATTGGCCGCCTCCTGCACGCCCCACTCTGGGGATTGGGCCCACAACCTGGGCCTGGGCCCTGACCAGGAATTGAACTGGCAACCTCTGGGTGCATGGGTCGATGCTCAACCACTGAGCCACACTGGCCAGGCTGTTTATAAGTCTTCACCTGAGGACATTTTTTGTTCAGATAGAGTGGGAGGGAAGGAGGGAGAGAGAGAGAAACATCGATGTGAAAGTGACACATCGAGTGGCTGCCACCCGCATGACCCAACCAGGGCCAGGGACAAACTGCAGCCGAGGTACGCGCCCTTAGCGGGAACTGAACCCGGGTCTGTCTGGACCGCAGGCCAACACTCTAACCGCTGAGCCAAATCGGCCAGGGCGTTTATAAGTCTTTATGTGGATATGTTTTCAGTTCTTTTGGGTATATATCTAGGAGTAGAATGGCTAGGTTTCGTGGTAACTCTGCTTAACTTTTTGAGGAACTGCCAGATGGTTTTCCAAGGTGGCTGCACCATTTTATATTCCCATCAGCTGTGCATAAGGGTTTCAAATTCACCACATCACCATCACTTGTTACTTTTATTATAGCCATCCTAGTGGGTGTGGTATCTCATTATTTACCATCACACTTTGAGTGAAGTCTATAGTCTTTATCAGGGCCTACAAGGCCCCAGGTGATCTAAGCTTGTCTTTTTTTTTATCCTCACCCGAGGGCATTTTTCTTCAGATACAGTGAGAGGGAGAGAGGTAGAAGAAAGAGACACAGCAGCTGGTTGCCACCCACAGGGGCCGGGGATGAACCTCAACTGAGGTATGCGTGCCCTGCCCTGGCCGGTTTGGCTCAGCAGTTAGAGTGTTGGCCTGTGGACCAGAAAGAGGTACATGCCCTCAGCATGCTGTCTGACGCTCCAACCGCTGAGCCAAACTGGCCAGGGCAATTGTCTTCTCTAACTCTGTGTATCACAGGTACACAATCCCTTGTCTGAAATTGAAAAATCAAAACAACTCTTTAAAAGAAATTTTTTTCTTTATTGATTTAGAGGGAGAGGAGAAAGAGATAAAAACATCGATGAGAGAGAACATTAACTGGCCCCTCCTGCATGCCCCCCACCAGGGATTGGGCCCACAACCTGGACACGTGCCTTGACTAGAAATCAAACCAACGACCTCTTTGTGTATGGGTCCATGCTCAACCACTGAGCACACCGGCAGGGCTCTCCCCTACTTTAAAAACACCAACCAGCCAGGTTAAATTAACAGAACACTCACAGATGTTTTAACCCCTTCCCCCCAAAAAGCTATGCAAAAGAAATCTGAGTTAAGGTACAGGGATAAGCTTTCTCCCTCATGAAAGACTATGTTGCACTCTATACTTGAATACCCAACCCCACTCTATCTGGCAACAAACACACTCAACACAATATACAAAGTACAATTTCCATTTATTTTTTTCCAGAGAACTTTTCTTAAGTCATCAAGAACTTAGCTTCTTACATGGGCTTTGGTGGAGGTCGTGGGGCAGCACCCTGGAAGATGAAAGAATAAGTTAAAAACCACCAACTAAAGACCTCCCCCTCACTAAAAGAACCTGACCACTACCCGTTCCATCAATGTATTTGGGCCATAAACACATGGAACACTGGTAGATGTGAAAGGAGACAATTCCAAAAACAAATTCTAACTCTAAGTGACTCAAAGCAAATGTTTTATGTGTGGGTCCCACCTATCTCATCAGACTTAGTTGACCACACCATAGGCAGACTTTAATTTAATAATCTTTGGGTCCTCATATATCTTCTGTACATCACCCTTCTAGCTTCCACATCACCTTTTAAAGATACTTACCGCAGGTCTAAACCGAGGTGGGGGTGTTCGGTCCTTCCGGGCTTCGCGAGAACGATTCCTGACTACCTTGCTATGAATGGCACAGCTCACACAGTAATGTAGTTTCACATACAGCTTGGGAAGCACATAGGCTGAGATAGAAAACAAACATAATATTAAACGTACTTAATTGTCTGTTAGGCATACCTAAAACATTTCACTCCCAAAGCAAACGTTCAGTTTCTGATGCTTAAACACATATGCCATTTCACAAATGAGTAATACTCCCCCACTAATTCATCCTGTCACCAAGGGGACCAAACCCACATCAAAAACCAAACATCCAGTTTCTCCAGCAGATGCACAAGCCCTAATGGTACTCCCGGGCCCTTTCTTGTTGCCTAAGCAAGCCAATGTATCTTTAAAAAAAAAAAAAAAAAAAGGCAGTCAGGAACTATAACAAAGACTGAACACTACTGCAAAGAGTCTGCCTGTAACCAAACAAGGCTCAAAAAGGGCAAACACAACAGACACCAAACACCGTCCTCTTCTAGCGGCAACAACCTTAACGTGCATAGAAATTGCATTGGACGCGCCAGTGAACAGAGCCTGCCAGGGTGGGGTGGAGTGGGGTGGCAGGTGTTGCGATCCTTGCAGGGAGCTTACTCACCGTCGAAGACACTCGCTTCGGAAATGTCCCTAACGGCTGCGGCCTCTACTATGTTTCGAATGACGAACTTCTTAATGGCCTTGTCCTTGGGCACGCATCGGGCGCAGTTGGTGCAACGAATAGGCTGCACATGGCCGCGGCCTTTTTTGGCACGACCGTTGTTCCTTCTTTTCTTGGTCTACATGAGGATAAAGATCATGTTAGGACTGAGGTGCAACTCACGCCAGCCTTCTTTGGCCCGTTCCGGCTACAGCCCGCACCGGCAGCCCCAAGAGAGGCTCCAGGCAGATCTGCAGTCTCCACACTCTCTCCGTGCCCGGAACAAACACATACTGCGTCCACTCCTCCGCCGTGGACCGGGCTCTCGAATCCCCGCAATCCGGAACCTGGTCCTCGCAACCTCCGCCCGGACCCCACGCGCACCACGCGCCAGAACTCACCATCTTGGAAGCGAGGACCCGAGAGAGGACCCGGCGCCCGGCCCGGCTCTCTTATATAGCGCGAGATCCCTACACTCACACCGGAAGAATCCTTAGTTGACGAAAGCCAAGAACGACAACCCACTTTATTTAAATTTTCTTTATTCGTCAGCATTTTCGCTGAAATCCAGGGCAGAAAGGCGTTTCTCGAGTTTATTTATTGGTGACACAAGATAACCGTGGGACTATTTTTCCTGATGGCGGAGGAAAACTGAAGTTATACGTTTCCTAGCAAGCACCGCGACGCCCGACCCCGGACGTAATTCTGGGCGAGTTTTGCGACGCCAGGAGCGGAAGTTGCCTGGCGCAAGATCGCAAATCGCGCTGCCAACTGGAGGCCAGAGGGGAAGAGATGCACGATGGGAGTTGTAGTGCGAGGCCGACAAGCCTTTGGCCCCCAAGCACTTAGACCCGGGTCGGCGCTACGCCACCGGAGGACGCTCTCGGTTCATTTCTCTGACAAGTCTGCTACTTGGTGTAGGATTGAGAAAAGGAGGACCTGGGGGGGAACAAAACATTTTGTTAATTCCTCTTTCCAGTACGGAGAAAAACCTACAATGAGGGGCCAGGGACAAGTGCATTGGTGCTGGGTCTGTTTCACATTCACCTTTTTATCTCTGGATTTGATTAGCACAGTGCCAGGCACTGTAGTAAGTGCCTTATAAATATTAACTCATTTAATCCTAAAAAGTGTATAAGGTAGGTACTATTATTATCTTCACTTTACAGACAGAAAAACAGGAGTACTGTAGAGAGGTTAAAACTGAGGTTGCCCCAAGTCACAGAGAGCTAGGAAGAGGTGTTCTGCCTCCACTATATTACACTGCTTCTCACCCAACAAACCAACAGATGGAGGTACAGCCTGGACCAGTGACTTAAATAATTTTGACTCAGACTCATAGTAGAAATATATTTTACATGGTACTCAATACTTACACAAACACGAATACACACACACACACACACACCTGAAACAAACTTATCCTTATGACATAAGGTGCACTGGTATGTTCAATTTTTTATTTTAATAAATGCTGATCAAGGCCCACTAAAGTGATTTCACCATTCATCGATGAGTCTGGCCCCTGACGGAAACACACTTTCTCATGTATATACTATGCTCCATTTACCTCTGAAGAGCCTTCAGAAAATCTTTAGCCTTGAGCAGGAGTGGCTATCCATGGGCAGTCAACTACCCAGTTGTCTCTAAAACTGAAGAAGTTAGCCCTGGCTGGTTTGACTCAGCAGTTAGAGCATTAGCCCAAAGAACAGTGAGTTGCAGGTTGGATTCTGGTCAAGGGCATGTACCTTGGTTGGCTGCGGTTCATCCCCGGCCCTGGTCAGGGTCCTGCGGGAGGCAACCTATCGATGTATGTGTCCCTCTCACATCGATGTTTCTCTTTCTCTCCCTCCCTCTCACTCTATCTGAAGATAAATAGAAAAATATCCTCAGGGGAGGATTAAAAAATATAATAATAATAATAATAAATAAATAAAATAAAATTGAAGAAATTAAGGTGTCAAAGGGACCTCCCAACATTCAGACCCAAAATGGTATAGATGGAGACCATAGTTCATTCCTTCAGGAATCATTCTGGAGTATGAATACACCAGATTCATTTTCCTGCCAACAATCTATCATGGTTTATCCTAGCCTTTCACCCACTTTATTGGGGTTAAATTTTCTTTTCTTTTTTTTTAATCCTCACCCAAGAATATTTTTACATTTATCTTCAGACAGAGTAGGAATGAGGAAGAGAGAAGAGAGAGAGAGAGAGAGAGAGAGAGAGAGAGAGAAACATGGATGTAGGAGAGACACATCAACCGGTAGCCACCGGCACGACCCCAGCTGGGGCCGGAGACTAATCGCAACAGAGGTACATTCCCTTGGTCAGAATTGAACCCAGGACTCCTTGGTCCGCAGGCCGATGCTCTAAACATTGAGCCAAACCGGCCAGGGCTATTTTCTAACTTTTGATTTGGCTTCAACCCAACCAAATCCTTAGTCTCTTTCTATTTTGATTTTGTTAGTTTCAATGGGGAATGGAAAATGATAGACTCTAGATCAAAGTATCTCCAATTTTCACTTCAGTATAGTCTCATGGAAACAGGAAGGCAGACATTATCATGTGGAATGGCAGTGAGTTAGATGGGAGAACAGAGAAAAGTTCAGAATGAAGTAGACAGAAAATAGTTAATATGTATTTAAGACAGAACCAAGTTAATGTGTCTATCTTAGCTTTTTTTGGGGATTTTTAGTCTTGGGGTTTCACTGGCTGCATTCCCTGACATAAAGGGATGGGCACAAACTTTGGAATCACACACCTCTGGGTTCAAGCCCAGGTTCTCTCACTTATTGGCTGATGAGTCTTGAACAAGTTATTTATTCTCTTGGGCTTTTATTTATTTACTAGTAATGGTAATCATTTATTTGTAGGTTGTTTCTACAATTAAGCAAATATTTGGCACAGTGCTTGGCATTTATGAATGCTCAAGAAGTGGTTGATCCTGTTATTATCATCATTCACGGTATTGTAACTTGTGTCCCCCTAGGCATATCATGTTCTTTGCATATAGTAGGTACTCAACAACAAATGTTTGATAACTTTCTGCTTTGGATGGATAGGCATGTTGGGCTTTCTCTCCTATCCTGCAGCCACTCCTAGTAGGAAAATCTCTTTCACTTCCCATTCTAGGTTGAAAATTCTTTTGTTTTAATGTAGCAACTGCTTGAGTATTCTTGTTTGGCTTCCTCTCTATCTTAAACTTGTTCACCTTCAAAATGTTCAGTAGTTAGTGCAACATGCTGCAAGGATGTCCCCCTTCCTCCTAGTAGAAAAGCAAAGCAAAGGAAATCTGCAAAAACAACCAGGGGTGTTAAATTACTCATGTTTATTTATAACAGACCTTCAGCCAGTACAGTACAAAACTTACAGTAGTATATCTCCATTACACAAATATTTACTTACAATATATTACATATACAAAATGCTTTGCAATAAGTTTCAAAAGCTAGTTTAACTCCCTCTTGAGAAAGGAGAAAAACTCTTTTAAAAAAGGTAGGGTAGGGGAATCAGAGGAAGAGAAGATGAAGGGATAAGGTCCAAGGAGACACCAAGCATAGGCTACAAATGAAACCCTGGGAGAGAGAGAGAAGAGAGGTGGTATTGCACTTGCTTCTGTGTTCTTTTTGTTCTTCATAACTTCTGATTAAAAATATATATAATATATATATATTATTTACACAAGGACAGAAGCTGCTAGAAGTATTACAAAATCCCACCTGCAGCTTGGACACTGACACGAAAAAACAAAGGTCTGGAAAAGTGTCTATTTAGAAATTTTTTGTGTGTGGTGTTAATTTTGAATATCAATATAAAAAGAAAACACCTCTTTTCTCCATGTGGGTTTCAAAAATTTTTTACTTTATTTTATTTTTATGCAAAACGAGTTGGGAGAGAAAGCATGAGAGTATTTGAGGTTCCAGAGCTGAAAGGCTCTAGAAAGTAGGATTTTGTACCTAAGACCCTGGTTAAAGTGCAGTGATGGTCTGGAGGGAGACAGAGTACCCTTCTCTCCCCTCCTTAGCACCTGGTCTTGCCTTCCAGTCTCTGCTCTCATGGGCTCAGAGTAAAGCCTCAGAGCATAGTTCTTCGTGTTCCAGGAGGTTACAGGTGCCAAAGCTGACTGGGGGAGGGGATGGTGGCACCCTAAGGCTCTGATACCCCAGAAGGGACTAGTCCTTATGAGGTGTTACCAAATACACAGCAGACACAGAAGAGGTGGTAGAGGGCAGGTCTAACAGGAAGAGGGTCAATAATCAGAACAGAGAACCCCAGATATTAATCTCAGCTCTGCTGCCATCCTGAAACAAGGAGCCAGTTCCCGCAGCTGCTGTTGAGAAAACTCTCCCCTTCTCCAGAGACCACTCCCCTCCCAGATAACTCCCCATCCTCTGCCCTTGGCAGCATCTGTTTATTGCTACATTGTCAAGGAGGAAAAATCAACCCACAGTGCCCCTCCCTAACAATCTGGTTCTCTTGGGGAGACCACGTAATGGGGAGAAAAAGGAGAAAGAAGAGAAGTGTTTGTAGGGCCTCCCTTCCCATAAGAGGGTAAGGTAGACTCTTCTTAGAGCCCTTAAGGGCCCCAATCCCAGGGTCTGTTCCTTAGCGAACCCTTTACCATCCCCTTAAATTATCCCTTCTAGGGAGTGAGAAAAGTAGGAGGCAAAAGGGCCAATAAGGAAAGGACATGTAGAAAGAAAGATGGAAGTGAAGAGAGGAGGACCAAGTGTTACAACTTGTGAGGTGTTGTGTTTGGTTTTTACTTTTTTTTTTTTTTCTTTAAATATAGAAAAACAGCCTTTGGTTTGAATCTCAAGGAAGCAGAGAATGGGATGGCTGTGGCCTTGGGCAGGGAACTCTGGGAGAAAGAACTCCACTTGCAGTGGAGCTGTATCTCCTCCCGCCCCCTTCTCACTGACTAGGTCACCCAGATAGCCAGGGGTCTCTGCAGCAGTCAGGAGGAGAGTGCACCCCCTGCCCTATGTCTGGGAGCTGAGTGTAGAAGGGGCAGTAACAGATGACTCCCCTTTCAGTTGTGCCCATCCCATTCTTGCTGGGACAAGAGTGGAACGGGGTGAGGGGCACATGCCCTTGCTCTTCCTGGGATAATTTTTGGTTATACTGAAAATTAGAAGAGAGAAAAGAGACACTCTTTTCTCCCTAAGAAGGTGAATCCTGCGGAGGGGGGAGAAGAAGAAGGCAGTATGACTGAGGGGTTGAGATACCCCGTCATCAGGCAGCAACCCATTGGTTTCTCATAGGACGGGGACTGCAGGAGTCCCTGAGAGCCCAGGGAGGTCACTAGAGTGAAGAAGTCTGAGAGGTGGAAGAGTAAGGAGAATTCTGGACCACTCCCTTCCTATGCCCTGGTTCCCAGTTAGGCACCTGTGGCTCCCAGCGTGTCAGAGACAGAGGACTGCAGACCTAGCCCTGGCCCCTGAGAATATCAAACTGGGGCACTCCAAGGAGAGAAAAGCTACCACTGAGCA